TTGCCCCTGCGGTTGGTCTCCGTTTGGGAGGTAAAATACATTGAAATACATGCCATCCACGATTAAACTGTCATTCGCCTGAATGCCCTTGTTCGGTGCTCCAAACTCACCGAACGGGGGGCTGATTCGTCTTCCCGTTAGGGAGTTATGGAGCTATGGAGGTGTCAGCGGTGTTCGGGTAATAGAGAGTCTGATTTGAGTTCCAGACACTCGATGACCAAACACCGCTGAATCTTTCGTGCGTAAGATGGCCGCCGCCACGTGTTCGTATGCCGAATGGCGGCCACCCAGATACAGCAATAAACCAGCTATTAGTCTGCGGTTAACACATGTTCAACACTTAATTGGGAACACACTTCACTCTGGGGAGGTCTATTAGTTCGGTAGTTTCCATTCGTATGAAATATATATGGAAACTACCGAACAAACATACGAATGCTAGTTACAGGGAATTACAAAACAGAATTAACACTCGAATTGCAGGATTCTCATAGTCTTTTAAGGACATCCACAGTGCCATCTGCTACACTGAGTTCATTCATATATACCGTTTCTGGATTTCCCAGTCTCTTGGATTCACTTAAATGTTTGTTTTATGTTGCCACACCCGTTTGTTTTCCACTTTCTTTTTGTTTCAGCTTGGACCTGCAGCAGTGTTTCATGTCTCTGCCCTTTCTTGCAGGTAAGTGCTATTGTGGTTTAGTATGGCTATTTTAGCATACATTAGGCAGTGTAGGACCTGCCAGAAATGGGGTACATTGGCATTGTTGGCAGGCTTATGCAATGTATGATCATATAATGTGACTAAATCCCCATACTTTTCATATATAGTGCTAAGCTATGTTTCCTATTGTTTTACCTTGTATCTCTTGTCTTGTTTTATTTTGTCTTGTAATCCCAGTCCATGTACAGTCCTGTCCAGTCATGCCCATGTTATGGTTTTGTTTTCCTCATGTCTTGTGTACATGTTCTGCTTTCTGCCCTGCTCTGGTTCTTGGTTCTCCTAGTTGTGTCTTGTTTTCATGTATGGTGCCTATCTCTAGTCTTGCCTTGTTCTCCTAGTTTTGTCTTGTTTTCATGTATGGTGCCTATCTCTAGTCTTGCCTTGCTTCAGTACTGGATACACTCTGTGACGAGACCAATCTCGCCACTGTGCATTGGAGGAGCCTGGTTGCCTGCCTGCTACCTTTTGACTATGGACTGGCATTTAAATACTTTATTTTCCTATGCAGCAAGGTCTATTCATGTTTTCTGCCTTGACGTTCGGTATATTCTCGGATTTACTGAATGAACTCATATAACCCAGATAGCTATGCCATGGAGCCTATTTATGTAATTAAAGACTTTGGCTCCATGGCAATTGAACTGTATGTGTGTGTGTGGTCTGAGCGCCATTCAGTATTAATGTGCGCTCAGACCTAAGCTATCTGGGCATATGTTGCATGTCTGTATTTTATGTCATAAATGTAACCTTGTGTATTTTATTGTATTTTACTGTCTTTTTACTGCCATGTGTTCAATGGAGTTTTGCTTCTGTCCTTGGAGATAATTGCATTACTTCCCAATTATCTCCAGGATAGAAGACTCTGTGGAACTGTTTTTTGGCAGAAAAGCCATGCTTCCCTTGGTCACAAAGGACTACAATTTATCTTTTGAACCATTGGACCAATTTGGATGATTTTGGCATATGTTTGTTGTGGCGAAACCGACCTCGCCACGTGTCCTTGGAGGGGGCTGCTTGCCCGCCTCTTGCCTTTGGACTATGGACCAGACTTTATGTGAATGTGTTAACCCAGATAGCTATGCCATGGAGCCCATTCGTGTAGTTAAAGACTTTGGCTCCATGGCAATTGAACTGTGTGAATAGGATCTGAGCGCTATTCGGTAGTTTTGTGCGCTCAGATCCCAGCTGAACTGTCTGTGTGTTATGTGTAAAAGGTGACTTTATGTATTTTAAAGTGTTTTATGTCTTTTTGCAACCATGTGCTCAATGGAGTCTGCCTCTATCCCTGGATAATTGGATTACTTTCCCCCATTGTCTCCAGGATAGAGGGCTCTGTAAAACCTGTTTGAGCCAGATAACCATGTGCCAGCCAGGGCCCAAAAGATACTTTTACTTACTTTTGAACCCCTGGTCGGATTCATGCCATTTTTTAATATGTTGTTCCCCTGAATGGATTGATTGTGAATATGTAATTTTATGTGAATGTGATGTATGGTTTTTGTGACAGACCCATCTGTATGGACTAAAAGTACTGTGTTCGTCTGTTTTGCCGTTTGCATGAATTTCCCCATTCGTATGCTTTGTTTAAGGGAATGTCTTTTTTTTGTCGAACGGAACTACCGAACGGACGGCCACCCAGAAGAGAAGTGTGCTGCTTGTTAACCTATTGATCCCAATTAGAACGTTGCGGTTACCACAGACACTTCTCAATTAAAACCGAATACCGGGTGGTCGTCATTCGTATGTCGACCACGAGGCGGCGGCCATTTTGACCAGCGGTGTTCGACGATTATTTCATGGAACTAAAAACGGACACTTTTTCAACCGAACACCGCTGAAGCTGTCGACCTCCCCTTCTCAATCGACAAAAGCATACGAATACCGGCCGTTCGGGAGATTTAATAACACGAATGGACTTAACCCAGATAGCCTTCCCATGGAGTCAATTTCATACCGAAGAACTGTAACAGACTTTGACTCCATGGCGATTGAACTATGCGTATAGGATCTGAGCGCTATTCGCCAATAATATGCACTCAGATCCAGGCTATCTGGGGATGTGTTACACGAATGCAATATGTTCGGCAGTTATAAAGTTCTGTATTTTAATGTGTTTTGTAACTGAGTTAAAATGGCGATTTGCCTCTGCTCTGGGAGATAATTGAATTACTTCCCAAATATCTCCCGAGCAGAGGGGAGGAAACTGTGATGCATGCTGGGAATATTGTGGGGATGTATGTTCAGAATGTCCCCATGTCCTTCTGTCATTTCAGTCTCCCATTTGGTCCCCTAGGGGAGTGTCCACCAAGTGGGAGACCTGCCTAAATACGGTAGCCCACAGTAAACTCAGTTCGTGTTTTACCCTCAAAGCGGAGCTTGGTCTCTGTTACGGTACCTCCAGGAACGAAACGTACAAACCGCCGTTTAGCGAGTATTCCCCGTTCGCAATAATGTGGTCGGGTAGCGGGTATAATAAAACCATGCGAACGCCAGTCAGGGAACACTCCAAACTCCCGAACGGTACCTGTACGGCTGATTCCCTTCGCAAGCCGCAAATCCACGAACGGCAATTAATAACCGAACGACAATCTCTCCCAAGCGGCAAATAATCCAAGTAAGCAGTCTCTCGCCGCTAGTATCCAAATCCCCCCAATAACGAGACCAAGCTCCGCTTTGAGGGTAAAACACAAACTGGTTTACTGTGGGCTACCTGCCCGGTATTTATGCAGGTCTCCCACTTGGTGGACACTCCCCTAGGGGACCAAATGGGAGACTGAAATCACAGAGGGACATGGGGACATTCTGGACATACATCCCCACAATATTCCCAGCATGCAGTACAGTTCCCTCCCCTCTGCTCGGGGGACAATTGGGAAGTAATTCAATTATCTCCCCGAGCAGAGGCAATCGCCATTTTGGATACAAGTTACAAAAACACACAAAAATCCATAACTTAATAACTGCTAAACATTTTACATCAGTCTTGCATATCCCCAGATAGCCTGGATCTGAGGGCACATTATTGGAGAATAGCGCTCAGATCCCATTCGCACAGTTCAATCGCCATGGAGTCAAAGTCTCTTTCAGTTCTTCGGTATGCGATTGACTCCATGGGACGGCTATCTGGGTTAAGTCCATTCGTGTGGTTGAATCTCCCGAACGGCTGTCGTTCGCATGCTTTTGTCGATTGAGAAGGGGAGGTCGACGGCTTCAGCGGTGTTCGGCTGAAAAAGTGTCCGTTTTCCGATCCATGAAATAATCGTTGAACACCGCTGGTCGTTCGCATGGACAAAATGGCCGCCGCCTCGTGGTCGACATACGAACGACGACCACCCGGCATTCGGTTTTTAATTGAGAAGTGTCTGTGGTTAACCGCAACGCTCTAATTGGGATCAATAGGTTAACCAGCAGCACACTTCTCTTCTGGGTGGCCGTCCGTTCGGTAGTTCCGTTCGACAAAACCGACATTCCCTTAAACAAAGCATACGAACGGGGAAATTCATGAAAACGGAAAAACAGACGAACAACGCAGTTATAATCCAGACAGATGGGTCTGTCACACGGCTCCCCCCTTGTGGAACACTCCGGCAGACCCGGCTTGACCCTTTGGCGGGTCAACTTGGGGATGACCGGACTGAGGAGGAGTAGGGACGTCTGTTTGCCGAGATAACCCATCTGCATTCCCATTCTGCTTACCGGGTCGGTAGCTGATGGTGAAGTTATATGGCTGTAGTGCCAAACTCCACCTCAGCAGTCTGCCATTGTCTCCTGAGACCCGGTTAAGCCACACGAGGGGGTTATGGTCCGTAATAAGGGAAAATTCTTGTCCATACAGATAAGGGCTCAGTTTCTTCAGTGCCCATGTAAGAAATTATGACCCTCTTACAAGGATATTCTTTTAGGGAATGTGTGACAAATAAGACATAAACACAAGTGTATAATAAAATGTATTGTAAATATTCATTTAAGGATACTGTTAGATTTTAAAAGGATATACACAATATACATTATACATTATATCCGGTACATAATCAAAAGCTACATAATAAAAAGGCAATACTTAAACATTTAAATGCAGGTCTTCCCCTTGCGCCTTCATCTTGGGTAATCTGGGACAGCCTCTCTTAGTTCACCATGGCCCTGCTTGCTGCGTTGTCCTCTCCAAAGAGAGAGAGAAAGAGAGAGCCTTCCTTGGTTGTTGTCCTTTTAAAGACTGATTCTTGGAGTAATAAACTACAAGTGCCAGAATCCCTTTTCCCTCCCAAAAGTGGTTTATCCCGCCCTCTTTCTCCAGAGAGTTCTGTCTTTACACAAGTCTTTCCCTTTGATCTCTTCCCTCCAGCTATACTGTAACGTTCTGAAAGAAGTGACCAGTTAGGGTTGGTTTCTGGGTGGGTTAGACTGCTTGGGAAAACACACACTTCCATGGTTTCACCTAGATGTCTATTACTCTGATCTGATAACATGCAAGGAATACTGGAGGGATGTAAGCTTTTGTTTTAGCTGGGTGTTGTAAAATGCAACTGAAAGCTTTGATCCTTATCACACTGTTATCAAGTAAATGACCCCAACTTGTGAAACCAGTCACATACACAGAAAGTTATATACAATATTGCAGTTTGGAATATCAATTTCTTACAGTCCCCACCTAGAGGGCGAATGACTCAACAAGAAAATGAGCCCTCTCAAAAAAATACAGTATTTGTATTATGTGTGTTTTAAATGATTATGTGTTTTACTGAGACACAAATGACTTGACAACCACATATATTTATAATTTAGGGTACTGCAATGCATAATTTAGCCAAATCATTGAGGCACTTACAGTTATCATTTTTCACCATTAATTTGAACTCCTTCAGCCATATCCGTAACCTTTCATTACCCTCATAGGCTCAGCATCACTGCAACCATTAGATTTCACTCCCATCACGCTCAGTTACCTGTGCCACCAGCACTGCTTCCACCACACTGTTCCTTTAACCCTGGCCTTGCTTACTTTGGGCTATTAGGCCTCTGACCTCTGCCCACCATGACACCTGGTGTATTTTCACACCAACAGCAGTTAATTTGCTGTTCACTTACATAGTGTATTAAAGAGACCACACAAGGGAGAAACACAGTTTATTGTTTGGAGTGGGGATCTGAGTGAAGGTGTACGTTCATTGGGAGTTTATTAAAAGTTGTATAGCTGGAGTGGGTTTGTGTTTGAGCCCTTGAGGATGTTTAATAAGTTTTCGATAGGCCCTTGGCTTCCGGAAATTAAAAGATTCTTAGCACAGAAAGTGCGCAGTGTTTCATTATGCAAATCACTAGTGGTTTGATTATCATCCTTGTCTCAGTACTACCGTCTGGATTCATAAGTGATCATCTAAAACATTGTAAACACAAATGTGAGCAAAATGCAACCAATATTAATGTGTACTAAGGGATACATCCTCATAACAGTATAAAATAATTTACTATAACCTTACTAAAACCATAAATATTTAACCCCTTGTGGAAAACCAAATAGAGCAAATAGAAAATGCTAAATCATATATTGTCACTCACCCCACCTTGACTCAAAAACAATATAAAATATACAAACTGGTCTAATTTGTCTATATGCTATACCCCACCTTGAGAGTATAAATTAAAACAAAAAAAAACCAAAGAATAACCATTATCATTCTATTGTTCACCCAACCTTGACCCAAGGAAATGTAAATATAGGCAATTATCTGTTTTCCCTATATTCCCTTTAGAGTGTGAAATACAATAAAAAGCATAAGAAAACAACAAAATCAAAGAAGATGGAGAGAGAAAAAAAAGTAGATTGAATGCTACCATTACCTTCAGTCATTGAACTGTATACAAAGTTTGGCAGCGTGCAATCTAAAGAAAACTGACAATGGTCTGTTGCCTTTCAAAGATTAAAATCAAAAATCGGCTTGAGGCTATTTGTGTTGGTAACCAAATGAAAAAAAGACAAAAACAAAAATATTTACTGTTGTAAACCAACAGACAGTTACACTATCACATCTCTCCAGTGTGATCAACGTATAAGCCTCACCTTGGCAACAATTCATCTAATCTAGAAATATATAAAATTAGTAATCCAGTATCAAAATACAAAAATAAAAATAAAACATAGCTGGAAGTGCAGGTGTGCTAAACTAATAAAAACAAAAATAATTTGGAATTTGGACCACCTGACTGTAATGAATGAATTTAGAGGCTTATCCTTAATATGAAAAAAATAATATAAAACTACATATTAAGGTCCTCTATAAACTGGAACTGTACTTTCCTGAAATAAATAAACATGTTAAATTGTTGGTCTTCTCACAGGTCTATATTTGTCTTCCTTCTCAATTGGCATCATCTCCGTAGTTTTCTAAAAAAAACAAACTTCAAGAGAAAGTTAATACCACACAACTAGAATAGGTCATTCAAGAAAAACTGTATCTGTTATCAGATTCTTTGTGTTAACCATCTCCTCTAATGTACTTAATTGTGCCTTGAGACAATCCAGTTTTTCAAGGAATTCATTTCGTTCACATGTTAGAGAAAGATTTTCTGCCTTTAGTTGTCTATTCTGTGCTTTAAGCACATGGTAGGGAATCCAGGGTCCTGTGAGGGGGATACCATTATTATCTTTTCTCTGGGATCTCCACCTAGGGTGATTATTTTTATTTCCCAGAGTCCATCTATCACACATGGGCCTTTCATGATGAATATGCACATCTGATTTACAAAATTTTTCAATATGTCCCATCCTACCACACCTAAAACATGTAATGGATTTTATATGTGGGGACTTTCTCTGATTGATATATCTGTGAGGTTGGGGACTTTGTATCAATGACACTTGTCTTTTATTTACTTTTTCTTGATTTAGTAAAATTGCTTCAGCCCTTTTTAAGCAATTCAGTATATTTACAAAGGTGTCTTGTGGGGACATAGTTAAACCAATTAACTCTCGAATATCTGGCAGTGTCCTATTAAGTAATGCTTTCTTATATGCATATTCATTGTGATCAGTATGTGCTCCAGGTGGAACAGTCAGTTTGTATAAAACAAATAACCTATTTACAAACCCTTGAACAGACTCCCCTCTCTTCTGAGCACAATTACCAAAAGCAAAATGATGATTTACTTCCTCTAGACCAAGTGTGTTTAATAACTCTTTGATAAGTTGTTGCTTGGTTCTAGGTTCTATAAATATCTCATGTGGCAGACTTACTCTTAGTGACTGGTCTGTACTAGCAATTATAACATCAAAAATATCCAATTCATTTAAGTTTCTGTGGATTTTTTCAAATTGATCAATTTTTAACATTACATCTACTGGATCATCATCCAAGCGTATACATCCCAGTTCTTTGCTCAGTGCAATAACCTCTGTATGTTTTAAGGAATGGGTCACAGTAGTTTTATGTAGTACATTTCCCTGTGCATCCACCATGTGCTCTGTAGAGACTGGTGCCATTTTAGCAAGAATACTGCACTCACAATTACTATAATTATTATGAAACACCTCCATCTTTGTTGTACACAAACCTCCACAATTGGTTTTCAGCCCATATTTAGTAGCAGCAAAACCATTTCTTTTTGTTAGTTTACATTTTAAATCATCAATTTCTTTAAGGCACACAGAATGATCAGCCTCTTTCTGGCTGCTGGAAGCAAGGATTCTAATAGCACCCTCTGCATATTTCAGCCTTTCTACAAGCTGCTCATTACAACTGTGCAATTCCTCATTTTCAAGACGCATTTGCTGACTACCTACACACAAAGCAGCAGCATTTTGCGCAGACAGTTTAAAACCTTCCACTTCATTCTTAAAACTCAAAACATCTGCCTCTAATTTCTCTTTTTGCCTATTTAAAGATTTATACTTCTCCGCAATCCAACAGGCAGCCTAAATCAAGGCAATTTTAGCACTAGATTTTGACAATTTATTTTCAATAATTGCCTTAGCCACATAATCCTGAGCATTAAGCCACGGATCTAATGCACCATCCATACATTTAATTATTGCTTCTGGATTAGACACCTTAGCAATCTTTTTCAATAAACTCTCCATCATTGACAACGCACAATTCACTGAAATATCTATACACAATATCTGAACAGTATCCAAAAGTAAATATACAATCTATACAATTATGAATATGCTTATAAATCACACTAAATCCCTCCTACCTCGGCTCGCCAATTTGTAAGAAATTATGACCCTCTTACAAGGATATTCTTTTAGGGAATGTGTGACAAATAAGACATAAACACAAGTGTATAATAAAATGTATTGTAAATATTCATTTAAGGATACTGTTAGATTTTAAAAGGATATACACAATATACATTATACATTATATCCGGTACATAATCAAAAGCTACATAATAAAAAGGCAATACTTAAACATTTAAATGCAGGTCTTCCCCTTGCGCCTTCATCTTGGGTAATCTGGGACAGCCTCTCTTAGTTCACCATGGCCCTGCTTGCTGCGTTGTCCTCTCCAAAGAGAGAGAGAAAGAGAGAGCCTTCCTTGGTTGTTGTCCTTTTAAAGACTGATTCTTGGAGTAATAAACTACAAGTGCCAGAATCCCTTTTCCCTCCCAAAAGTGGTTTATCCCGCCCTCTTTCTCCAGAGAGTTCTGTCTTTACACAAGTCTTTCCCTTTGATCTCTTCCCTCCAGCTATACTGTAACGTTCTGAAAGAAGTGACCAGTTAGGGTTGGTTTCTGGGTGGGTTAGACTGCTTGGGAAAACACACACTTCCATGGTTTCACCTAGATGTCTATTACTCTGATCTCCTGATAACATGCAAGGAATACTGGAGGGATGTAAGCTTTTGTTTTAGCTGGGTGTTGTAAAATGCAACTGAAAGCTTTAATCCTTATCACACTGTTATCAAGTAAATGACCCCAACTTGTGAAACCAGTCACATACACAGAAAGTTATATACAATATTGCAGTTTGGAATATCAATTTCTTACACCCAGACCAGGGCTAAACACTCTTTCTCCACTGCCGCATAACTTACTTCCCGGGGTAGTAACTTTCTGCTTAAGTATGCGACAGGGTGCTCTCCTCCATCTTCCCCGACCTGGCTTAGCACAGCCCCCAGTCCATACATGGAAGCATCTGTATGTACAAGAAAAACGTTTGTTAGGGACTGGGGCAGCCAGGACAGGAGCATTAACAAGAGCTTGCTTCAGTGCCTGAAACGCGGCTTCACAAGCTGGAGACCACAGGACCTGCTTAGGCAAATTCTTCTTAGTCAGGTCAGTCAAGGGCTTGGTAACCGTACTGTAGTCGGGGACAAAACGTCGGTAATACCCTGCCGTCCCCAGGAAAGCTAGCACTTGGGTCTTGGTGATAGGTGTGGGCCAGTTAGCTACAGCCTCTACCTTGGCTGGCTCCGGTCTCTGGCTCCCACAGCCTACTCTGTGACCCAAGTACTGTACTTCTGCCATGCCTAGATGGCACTTGTCTGGCTTCAAGGTCAGGCCTGCGGCCTGAATCTTGTCCAGCACCACCCCCACGTGTACTAAATGGTCTTCCCAGGA